GGAGGTGGGGGGGTGGGGGGTGGGGGGTCCTGGTCCCGGGGAGGTCGGGGGGGTGGGGGGTCCTGGTCCCGGGGAGGTGGGGGGGGTGGGTCCTGGGGGGAATGGAGGCATGGAAGGGCACGCACTACCTCCTGAACACCTAACCACCCTGCCCATCCCGATGGCACGGCTGAATGTCTTTCGAGGGCACCTCCCAGCCACGACTGGTCAGCCAGTGTGCCCTGGTGGCTTCTGGAAGGCCCCGGGACTAGCGCCCCCTCCCAGGGACGAGTTAGGGCCAGAAGCTGCGCAGCTCAGTGTTGTATAAGAAGGAACAATTCGTGGCCAACACAGGTCGGTCCTTATGCAGATAAGGAAGTAGTTACAATTTACTCAAATGATCCTGAAAGGCTGACAGTCGGGCTTCTGCCCAAAGGCAGGAATGTTTGGCGACCATGAGAAGCAGGAACCAAGCACAGGTAAACAGTCCCTTCTTCAACCTGGACCCTGGGCTCCGGTCCCACATGGGCTTCATCTCTGAACTTGTCAGGAGTCACTGGGAAGGGACTCACAGGGACAAGTGTCTCTGTCAGCCCTCAGAAGAACCCCATGCCACGTGGCGCTGAAGCACCGGGCACTGGGGGCGCCGGGGAGATGGGAGAGTAACGGCCACCCCGCAGGTGTGTGCGAGGACGAAGTGGTTAGAGCTGTGAAAACACGCGGCAGCCCCGAGTAGGTACGTGATGAACGCTAGGGTTCCTCCACCCTTCCCCCCACCCCCTCGTCCCAGGAAAAGGATCCTGGGAGAGGGAGAGAGAGAGAGAGAGAGAGAGAGAGATACACACGAGCAGCCTCCACAAGCGGCACTTGGGAACCAGAATGTCTCACCGTCTTCGAGGGAAGCTGTCTGTCCCTCTGCCCTGGTGCTCTGGGTCCTCAGCTCAGGCAGGGGCCTCTGCAAACACCTGGCTCTGTGTCCCTAAAGCCACCTTCTGCGGCTGGGCATCCGATTCATCCAACATAAACTCTTTTATATGCTTAAATGTATTTTACTTGTACTTTGGAAGGTTTAATATTTTTTTAGTAACCTCTACACCCGATGTGGATCTCAAACCCACGACCCCAAGATCAAGAGTGACATGCTCCTCTGACTGAGCTGACCAGGCCTAAATCCATTTTAAAATACTGCAAGTAGAGGGGTGCCTGGGTGACTCATTCGGTTGAGCGTCCGACTTCGGCTCAGGTCATGATCTCACGGTTCGTGGGTTTTAGCCCCGCGTCGGGCTCTGTGCTGACAGCTCGGAGGCTGGAGCCTGTTTCAGAGTCTGTGACTCCCTCTCTCTCTGCCCCGCCCCCACTCACACTCTGTCTCTCAAGAATAAATACATGTTTTTGGGGCGCCTGGATGGCTCAGTTGGTTAAGTGTCCACCTTTGGCTCAGGTCATGATCACACAGTTCGTGGGTTTGAGCCCCACATCGGGCTCTGTGCTGACAGCCAGCTCAGAGCCTAGAGCCTGCTTCAGATTCTGTGTCTCCCTGTCTCTCTGACCCTCCCCTGCTCATGCTGTCTCTCTCTCTCTCTCTCAGAAATAAATAAAACATTAAAATAAAAACTATTTAAAAAAGAACAAATACACGTTTTAAAAAAAATCTAAGTTTATTTTGAGAGAGCGAGCGAGCATGAGCGGGGGGGCAGGGGGGGTTGCAGAGAGGGAGAGATCCCAGGTAGGCTCCACACACCTAGTGCAGAGTCCGACAGCGCAGGGCTTGAAATCACAAACCATGAGATCATGACCTGAGCTGACATCAAGAGTCAGAGGCTTAACCTCTGAGCCCCCCAGGGGTCCCAGAAATGTTTTTAGTCTATTTGTCCAAGGACCCTTACATCACAGTAGCAAGGACGCTCCAAACCTCCCATGAGAAAATGAAGGCCTCAGAGAAAATCCATCTTGTGCAGAACAAGAGTCCGGCCTAACAGCATTTGCGCTTGTGGTCTCCAGGAGGCCCGTGGGTGAGCCCGGCGGCGGCAAGTGGAGCCCTGGGGATGAGCGAGTCATTAGGCCCGCTCTTCACCTGAAACCCCAAGGTAACAGCTGGAAGGAAAAGGGCGTTCAACATAAAACAGCGACAACCGGGCACAGATCTGGTGTGAGCCTTCGCAGAGGAAGACACGGGAGTGCACAGTATACACACAGGAAGATGCTCGATGGCGTCAGTTACGGGATGGCCTAGATGGAGGTGACTGACAGCGACAGGTGTCGGCGGGGGTGCGGAGCAACCGGAATGCTCGTGCGCTGAGGGTGGAAATGTGGGTCGGCACGGCCACCCAGGAAACGGTCTTGCCACTTCTTATAAACACAGATCTAGGGGCGCCTGGGTGGCTCAGCTGGTTAAGCATCCGACTTCGGCTCAGGTCATGATCTCGCGGTTCGTGGGTTCGAGCCCCGCGTCGGGCTCTGTGCTGACAGCTCAGAGCCTGGAGCCTGTTTCAGAGTCTGTGACTCCCTCTCTCTCTGACCCTCCCCTGCTCACACTGTCTCTCTCTCTCTCTCTCTCTCAGAAATAAATAAAACATTTAAAAATATGTAAACGCAGATGTATGCTTCCCGCAGGAGTGCTCGGTGCCGCCGCTACACATCAACCCAGGAGGAATGGAAACTTGTGTGTACGCAGAGACTCACGCACACGTGTCCACAGCAGCTTTGTTCGTAACAGCCCAGACACGGAACCCAAGTGTTCATCGGCTGGTACTTGGACTGACAGAACCAAGTGTAAGTAAAATGCAGTACTCCCCAGCAATGGAAGACGAACCCACTGGCGAAATTCAGATAAGACGGATGAATCTCGAAATCTTAACACTGGGTAGAAGAAGCCAGACATAAATGAGTCCATATGTAGGATTTTGTTTATATGAAATTTAAATTTTTTTAATGTTTAGTTATTTTTCAGAGAGCAAAAGAGACAGAGCACAAGCAGAGGAGGGGCAGAGAGAGGGAGACAGAATCTGAAGCAGGCTCTGGGCTCTGAGCTGTCAGCACAGAGCCCAGCGTGGGGCTCGAACTCAAGAACTGTGAGATCATGACCTGAGCCGAAGTCGGTCGCATAACTGACGGAGCCACCCAGGCGCCTCCTCCTTCTCTTAACCCCGAGTGGGGGGGGACATGGGGGGAGCCCAGCACGGGTGAGGCCTTGGCAAATGTGTGCTCAGTGAGTGAATGACTGGCTTCCCTGAGGCCCATGGCACGCTCAGAGAAGACTGGAATTGAACTTGGGCCATTGGAGGCCAGGTGGACGGGCTTAGGGTAGAGGCAGGGTCAGGACGTCCTTGGAGCTCAGACTCTTCGAAGACTGAGGATCTTTCAAGTCCAAGGGCTACACAGGCAGGGCCTTTGTCCTTGGCAGAATCACCGAGGCCGGGATGTCAGATCGGCCTCCGTCCTCACCCCACATCCCCGTCCCTCCACCAGCTCGGAGAGAAGGTCACACCCCGGCCGCAAGGACCACACCAGAAGATGCTATTCTTGCAGAAGCTTTATTTATTCATGGATTCCAATTTGGGGTCCAGACTCAGCTACCTCAGTGCTGTCAGCCTAGCACTAGCCGGGTGGCCTCAGCAGGGACCGAAGTCCCATCCCTGGGGGCCCAGGAGGACTCATTTCTCTCATGGGAGAGTGGTACTTTCTTGCACCTCATCCCAGGCATTTATAGGCTCACCCCACTCAAAGCAGAGGCCCGTGAGGCCTAAAAGCTTATACTGGCCACAGACGACCTTGAGCACCTCCCACTCCTTGTTGGGGTAGACGATGAAGGTAGATGCACCATCGTCTCTCCCAAATGTGGCAAAGCGGCCTTTATCCGTGTACAGGGTCAGGGACCGGAGAAAGGTTTTGTAGGAGCCCCAGATCTGTATGATGTGCTCCCCCGGAGAGAGGATGAACTCCTGCGTGTCTCCGGGTAACTTGTTGCCGTACACGGTGTCCCAGGAGGGTCCGTATTTCACCTGGATACTGGGGGACGGGGGAGGGGAGGAGGGCCAGAGCTAGGCCAGTCACCACTCCCCAGGTGCTCTGTCCCCTGGCAAGGACAGCAGCCCTGTCACCACAGGCACGTCCCCAAGCATGTGGATTTGGGCTCCCGACACAGAGGACCTGCTCTCAGACCCCTGCTCTGATTTCGGGCTCTGTGATCTTTGGCTCATCACCCAGACTCTCCGGGCCGGTATCCTTACCTGCAAAGTGGGAGTTGTTTGGGGGAGGGGGGATCACTGAGACCATTCGTAAGAGGAGCGTGGCACACAGTGCCTGGTCACCGCGACACTCAGGCAGTGCCAGCTGCTGTCCTTGCCCACAGTGGGGAGCTGTCCCTAGGCACAGCTGGGACTTTCTGAACCCCAGATACTGACCAGACCAGGTCACGGTTCAGAAAAGCAGGTGACCCCCTACTCCCTGGGGGGGTCCCCTAAGTCTGCCCTTCGGGGCGTCCCTGGCCCCCACCCCCTCCACCACCCCGTGCTGCCCACGCTCTGGCCCCTACGGTGCTGGCCGCTCTCCCCAGGACCCTGTGAGTGCAGCCCCGGCGAAGAGGCGCTGAGCCCTCTCCCCCGGTTCCCGGGGCCACGGTGATAGGGCTTCATGGCCCTGCTCCTACCCACCTCCGCAGGATGCCCAGGGCGCCTCTGGTCACCCGGACTCCGGTGATCTCATATTCAGGGTTTCTGGACGTGCTGAAGTACTTGCCTCCTCCAGTCCCGTATATCTCTACGGACGAAGGCACCGGGTCAGGGAGAGGAAAACCCCGGCCGCTGCTGCGTGGCCCGTCCCTGCCCCGGACCGGCTGAAGGGTCCTGAGACTATAGTGAGGCTGCAGTCAGGGCGGGCAGGCGAGGGGGCCGCCGGGCCGGGGGGGGGGGGCACACCGCCCAGACCTACGTGCTGCCCAGCAGGCGGGGCTCCACAGGAGGGCGAGCATCAGCCTCAGCAGCATGGCTTCTGGAAGGTGAGTCCCAGGCTCCTGGAGAGAAGAGAACGACTCTGGGAGGGTCACTGTCGTGGGCGCGACCACGGCCCTACCTGGCGGGAAGCGTCCTGTTGCCCGGTCCTGGCCCCGCGGCGTCCTGCTGTTGAGCCCTCTCCGCCTGGCCGTTTATACCCTCCCCGTCCCCGCGGGCCCCCGTCCAGAAGGAAGGGGCTGGGCGGTGGGGGCTCTTCCTGGGGGAATCCCGGAGCCATCCCGCGGGAGGCTCCCGGACACACGGTGTTCATTGTCTCGGCCCCGTGGCCTCCACAAAGTGACAGGTGTTTCCCTGCTGTGTCTGGGCCTCTGTCCCCAGCATTTACACTAGAACTGCACTTCAGACGAGGGCCGTCCCCAGATGGGCCAGACAGGTCTCCACCCCAGGGGGGAGCTGCAGTCTGGAAGCCCACAGAAGCTCCGTGGGGCCTGGGGTCCCTGCCTCGTGCACAGCCGGGCTCGGGACCTTATCCAGGCCTGTGCGGAGCCCGGTGTCCCGTGGGCTTCCCGGACCTCAGGCTGAGCTCCCTCTGGCCCTCGGACAGCTGGATTGTGCACCCGGCACCAGGGGGAAGGGACCCCCCCCCCAGAGCCTGGCCCTCCATGGCCTGTCCCTTAGAACATAGTGCCAGTCTTTGCTCTGTGTGGGGGACGCCGGCAGCGGGGTGCGCTGCACCCCGGCCTCAGGCGACCGGACAGCAAAGGTGCCCAACTCAGGCACGGAGGCTCCGGGACAGGGCGATTCCCTAGGCCAGTGTCCCCAAGGGCTGCCGGGGTCTGGCCTGGGGGTCAGACTTACCTGGGAAGTAACAGGGTCCTTCTCGAGGGCCGGGGTTCTGAGGCTCCGGCTGGTGCTGCGGGTCCAGGCTTTCTGTGATGGGTTAGAGCTGACGCCGTCAGGGCTTCCAACCTTTGAGAAGAACCGCCAGGTCATCATCGTCACCTCGGGGCGGGAGGGTGGGGGAGTATGGGGGGGGCGCTGGAGCCAGACCGGTCCGAACCTTGGCTTCCCTGCTTCCCAGCCTGCGTCCGGGGAGCTCATGTCCCCCGTGTGCCGTGACTGTGTCATCTGTCGTCTGCGCAGGGGCCCGAACACCGAAGGCTCACGCGTGCCGACAGGCGTACGAGGTTGTTCTTGGCCGCGTCCTTTGAAATTACAGAGCATCACAAAACACACACCTGTGCATTTGGTGACGCATGGCATAAGTGACGGTGCCGCCAGCAGCGGAGTGCTATGCGGACATGAAGAAGGGCTGAGGCCGTGCCCGCCGCCCTGACCCTCAGCCCCAGGAACCAGGCTCGGTACAAACCAGGCTGGTTGGGAAGGCCCCGTCTGGTCCCAAGAAAAGGGGTGCAGAGAATGGCCTCGTGTGAGCACAGAGCACCCTGGAAGTGCTGGCCACCTCGCTGGGGTGGCTGGGGTGGCTGGGGGTCCCCATGTCCCCCTCACCCCAGCACCTCCAGGATGTATAGCTGGTACCTGGGCTGGGGGTTCGTGGTCTGAGGCCCGCAGGCCACGTCTGGCACCCCCAGGCCTGCCTGTTTCAGCCTGTGAGCTAAGAGCACTTTTTCCATTTTTAAAGGCTCAGAAAATGGGCGCACCTGGGTGGCTCAGTCGGTTGGGTGGCCGACTTTGGCTCAGGTCATGATCTCATGGTTCGTGGGTTCGAGCCCTACATCGGGCTCTGTGCTGACAGCCAGCTCAGAGCCTGGAGTCTGTTTCAGATTCTGCTTCCCTCTCTCTCTGACCCTCCCCTTCTCACGCTGTCTTTCTTTCTCTCTGAAATAAATAAAACGTTAAAAAAAATAAAATAAAGGCTCAGAAACAATTCAAAAGGAGAATAGCGCATGAGATTCTATGACATTCCAGTGCCATTGCCCACAGATACCGTTAGGAGCACTCGGCCACGGCCACTCGTGGCACATCGTCTGGGGCTGCTGTCACCCCACAACAGCAGAGCCGAGCAACTGCGGCAGCGACTGTGGCCCAGAAGACCTGACATGTGTGTTCTGCGGCCTGTCACGCACAAAGTGGCCGCTCCTGGGTGGGTCCCTGTTCCCTGCCCTGCGACAGAGGCAGCCTCGTCCACGCACACTTCCCAGCTGCCTCCTGGGGCGGCCAGAGCAGGCGCTGCTCCTTCCTTGCGGCCCCGGGGAGGCCCCTGCTTCCTCGAGGGGGACGTGAGGGCTCCCGGCGGCCTGTCCGGATGCACCGCGCCCGCTCCCAGGCCCACAGGCGGGCAGGCGCTGGGCGCTGACGGAGGGCAGCGGGGCAGCCGAACCGCCCAGACGCCCCAGAGCCTGGGGGGGGGGGGGGGGCGAACGGGCCCGGAGCTCGGCAGGCACAGCGCGGGAGGAAGGGCTGGCGGCCGCACAAATGGGACTCTGTCCCGATCCCACCGCAGCTGCTGGGCGCTTTTGAAGGTTCCGCCGCCAATTCAGGTGCCTTCTTTCCAGCGCCAGGCTGGCCGGGCTTCGCGCCCGGGCGGAGGGTCTGTGTGGACAGGTGGCGCTGCCTGGGGCGGGGGCTGGGAGGAGCGCCGGCCGCCGCCCACACAGCGGGGGTGACAGGGTGGCCTGAATACACACGCGAGGTGCGTGTTCAGAGGGTGTGAACACACACCAGATGTGCACTCGGGCGCGGACGCGACCTCCCCACGCCCAGGGGCCTGCGCACGGCCTGCACACTGCGCGCCTCCCTTCAGAAGGGCAGCCCCGCCCCCTCCTCCACCTGGGCCCGCGCTGGCCCCGGGGAGACTGAACACAGGCCCTTTGTCCCTGGGCAGGAGGGGGGCCGCGGGGGGTAATCCCCTCCCGCGGCGCCTGGGCCTCACCCTGCCAGGAGCCGGAACAACGGGGCCTTCTTCCGGCAGGGGTGGAGGTTGAGTCAGGTCGCCCTGCCCCGTGGATGTGGGGCTTGGGGACAGCCCTCTGTGCCCTGGAGAAGGCTCCGGTTCTCGCTGACGGCACGCTCCAAGGCAAGCGCTTTTCTGCACCCCAGCCCAGCGCAGCCCAGAGGAGCTCACTGCTTATTGAAAACCGGGACACCGAACCGCACATCTTGTCTAATCGTTTATGTGATTAAAAGCGCACCAGCGCAAGTGCTGAAAATCAGCGGCACCGTACCCGAGTGCCCACTCTAGAGAGGCAGGACGCCCGGTGGCCGCGCTGGCACACGCGTGTGTTACCTGGTGTCAGTCAGCTCCGGCTGCTGGAACAAATGCCACATCAGCTCCCAGAGGCCCCGCCTCCAAACACCATCCCGCCGGGGGGTTAGGGCCCCGCGTGCACATGTGCGGTCCGCAGCCGCTGGTCAGCGTCTATGCTGGCCCCCCACCCCCCGCTCTCCTGACCTCCTCTGGGGGCCCTTCCTGCTGCTGGCAGCCCCGACCGCGTGGGCTCAGCACGCCGCCTGCCCCAGACGGCACCGCTGGCCTGAGCTGCCTACCCGTCCCCCCCTCCCCCTGCTCTCTGCTGCGTAATTCATACCACTCTGACCCTCGGTTTCTTCCTCTGTAAATGGGCCCCTAGCAGGTGCCTGTGCACGAGGCTGTGGGGCAGAACGGGACAGTGTGCAGGTCTCAGCAGTCTGTCTGGGGGCCACTCTGTGTTACCGAGGACGGGGTCGATGGCGCCCCCTCTCCCAGGGGCTAGAGGGTTTCGGTGCTGAGACCACATCACACTGGTTTTTGAATCACATGCTCATCTCCTTCCCAAGAACGGTCAAGCCCTACCCATGGGGGTGCCTCTGGGCGGGGTGCCAGCCCCCGACAGCGAGCCAGAGCCACCTGAACCACACCCACGCCGAGGGCTTTCCAGACCCCGGCTCTACACCAAGGGCAGAGGGTCCGGGTGCACCAGAGGCTGGAAGCCAAGTATGGACCCGGCAAGCTAGAGCCTTTCAAGTATAAAGTCAACAGACATCCCCCCGGCCAACATTTTACTATGAAAAGGTTTGAACATGTTACAAAGTTGAAAGATTGTCACAGCCCACACCTGCCGTACTCGGCACTTGGCCAATTAACATTTTACTGTATTTGCGTCATTGCACGTCTGTCCACGTGACCAACCGTGCGTCCACCCGTGCGTCCCCGTTCTGTGTGCACATACACATGACCGCATCGGCTGCAGTCTGGTGCCTCCCCTCAGACACCACGTCACGTGTAGCGCGAAGGACACGTTGTGTGGGGTTCCCCCCGACATTTTGAAGTACAATTTTCATACAAGGAAATCACAAATCTGGAAGTGTCTATTCACGGGGCTTTGACAGACGAACATACCTGTCTAACCCACACTTCTTTCTGGACACAGAACTAGAAGCCTTCGCCCTTCTGACCCCCCACCCCCCGCCCTCCCACCAGCAGGCAAGCCCGGCCACGGCAGACATCCTTGACCTTGTGATGATGTAGGAGCACGGGAAGGGGGGTGAATTATCCATTTATTAGGAAAGAAAATGAATGATAAAATCAATCTGACCAAGAGCTCATATGGTGGATAGAGTTTATTTAAATATGGACAAAATACATATCTGTGGGAGCCCTAGTCGCAGAGTGAATACAAAAGTTAGAAAAGTTAACAACTTTTCAACAAACGAGTGCGTGAGGAACTGAAATTGGGAGGGGAGAAAGCCGGCTTCCCGAGTCGCCTAACAAATGACCACGGGTGATGGCTCAGGACAGCAGGGAGGGATCCCCTCCCTGAGCTGGCGGCCGGGGGCCCAGAATCCAGGTATCCGCAGGGCCGCCGCGTGCAGCCCGTCTCTGCAGGAGAACATTCCCTTGTGTCTTCCAGTTTGTGGGAAGCGTCTGGGCTCGTAGCCGCAGCCCTGGAGCTCCACTCTCCTCCGGCCTCACGGGGGCTGTTCCCATCTGTCTTCTCTTTTCTCACCTTCTGAAAGGACAGCCCTTACTGTATTCTCTCCAGGAGGGTCCCAAGATCCTTACCTTGATTACACCTGCAAAGACCCTTGATCC